TTCTCAGTTTTCTTGGAGAGGCTGATGATGCAGGACTGAGGGCCACGCTTTGAAACCCCTGCACTATGCCATTCTCCTACCTGGCTCTTTCAACACCCCTTGTGTAAACATACCAATTCCTGTGAAATCTGAGTATCCTCCATTTGTATGACCTCCACTTGCAAGTTCAACAAAATACACTAGAAATAGTACTCTATCTTCTTATGTCACTCAGCTCCAGGCCCTGCTTCCTCACCATAGTTTTAGCAAATGGTCCATCTGCAAAGAATTTCAAGGAAATACCTTGGTGTTTTGGGAACATAGAATGAGAGGAAGTAATGAAGTTGAGCCTGGAAAAGCTTCCTGGAGCCAAATCACAGCAGCTTGAATTCTTACCTAAAGAGTAGAGCCACCAGCACTTCACACTAAAATGTTCCACGTTCTAGAAACATATAGCCCTGGGCAAATCTGGAGACCCGTTCATCCTATATAGTTCAGCAGTTCTAGACAATGTCATCCAGCTGTTCCTTCAACATACATATGCTACCATGTTTTGTTTCAGCATAATGTCCAGCACAGTGAGAAAAAGACACGACTCTAGTGCTTTATGGCCAATTGAAGGAGAATGGTGGGTAGGTGAGAAACTATCTTACATGTGATATGTACTGTAATAGAAGGTGTCTCCACACCAGAGTTACAGGGATAGCATCGTGCTTTAGAGTTTTAGAGAACCAAAAAAAAATTCAAGGAAAGGTTTTTATAATCGAAATTCTGAATGTGTTCACAGGGAAGAGGGTCAATAATAGGTATAGATGACTAGTTCTCAAGTGGGGAGACAAAAATGAAACAGACAGACTTGGAGGGGTTTGGGGTTGTTTTCATTATACTCACATGCTCTCCATCTACCCTACTGGAATCATTGGTGCAGTGGGAGAAACTGGTGGTGCAAAAGAGAGGCGGCTGAGGTGGAGAAATCCATGGCATAACTGGAGAAGTTAGCCCTGAGTAAGGAGAGTGCTTCGCCTTTCTCAGAGACCAAAAGAAGGAATTTGATGTCCATAATCCCTTTTAAGCCCTTTGACTCCCATGTTCTGGAAGCCCACTGCTCTTCTTCCTTGAATCCCAGATCCACCCTATTCCTGATGAGCAAATCTGAGGAAATCACCTAATTTTGCTGAGTCACAGTTTGTTTATTTACAAAATAAAGATAGCACCATCCCTTGCAAAATCTCATTTGTAGATTGGTTTCACTTACTTGTGATTCTTAACCTCTTAAAAATCCTTTTTATGGCCTGTGTTGTGGCTTAGAAGGCTAAGCCTGCACCTGTGGCTCCAGGCATCCCATATGGGCACCTGTTTGTGTCCAGGCTACTCTTTTTCTCATCCAGCTCTCTTCTTATGGCCTGAGAAAGCAGAAGATGGCCCAAGTGCTTGGGCACCTGCACCTGCATAGGAGACACAGAAGAAGTTCCTGGCTTTGGATCAGCTCAGTTCTGGCCATTGCAGCCATTCGGAGAACAAACCAGCAGATGGAAGACCATTCTCTCTCTCCTCTCTCTGCAACTGTACCTCTCAAATTTTTTTTAAAATACTCTTTAAGAAAGTACAACTTCTCTCCAGAACAATACCTATCTATTCTGCCTTCCATGTTGGCAGGTTGCCTATCTGGAGCCCATCATGGATTTTCCCCACATGAAGACCTTCCATTGCAGTGCAGGAATCCACTGGGGATTAGGGAAAGCGCATGATTTATAGAAATTAATATTTTAATTAGTATGATACATATAATACCTATGCCATCTTAATTTATATTTTAAGATAAAGAGATATAAACATATAGGCTTCTCAAATTCATTAAGGGGGTACTATTAAATTGTTATGTACTCAGAAAAAATTTCATATTTGAAGTGCTTAAGGCTTAAGTACTATAAGAAATTAACAGAATTTCAAAGAGTCCAGAAAATGAAGGACTATCAGGAAGGATCAAGGATCTTCCTGGAGGTTTCTGTGACATCCCTGAATCCACCTGCACCAGGTTGCTGCCTGCTTTTTCTCTGCAGAGGCAGAGCTGTGAGAGGAAGGGAAGAAGAGAATGATTAGTATTATCCTAGCTCACAAAGAGAGAAGATTTATTACTGCACAACACTTAAGCCCTCCATACCCTGCCATCATCCATTCCCCCTTAAACAAATGCTGGTTGTCATCACATGATTATTATTACTATGCAGGCCAGATCCTCTGATGAATCGAGGCTGATGGAACACTCCTCTCAATAAAGAGACTCAACTATTCCTAGGTGGCCTGATTTATTTCCTGGAAGTTGTGGTTTTCCAAGTGGAACTCAAATCACTGAAAAGCATTCCTTCATTACATGAGGATGAAAAGTTAACCCTGAAGAGTATGCACATCTCCTGAATAGGAGCTCAGGTATAGTCACAGGTGCATATACAGGTATTCCAAGAAGAATGAGATGGCTCCTGTGGCTATTTCTTTTCAATCCTGAATTTGCCTCAGAATTTCCTGGAAAGCCCATGAGAACACTTTTCTGGACTCCAGACCCAGAGATTCAAATTCCACTCCCCAGAACAAGACCTTGCATTTGCATTTCTAAGAAGCTCACAGGTGATCACCCCTGAGTGACACAGCCTCACTGGATGGAACTGGACAACTGTCACATCAGCAGCCTCCCCAAAATTCTCTCCCCCTCATCACTCTCTGCTTCCACTTCTCAAATTTGCTGGCGCTAGAATGATCCTTCTAAAGCTCAAGTGTGTCATTCTCATCCTCAAGATGTTGACTGTGGCCCCCACTTAGTTTTACAACACAGCCCAAATGGCCTAACACTGGCAGCATCAAATATGTACTGCCACAGGCCTATATGCTTGGTTTGGTTTGCAGTCCCCAGTTGTGCCAGCACAGGTGTAGCATACATCCATCTTTCCAGGCATTGTTTCTTCTGCTAGAAGCAACATGAAGATGCTCAGTCATGCCATGTCGTATTGTGAGGGCAGTGAGATGACACTGAGCTCACACTTGCCCCCGGGTTCATGTTTATTAGATCACCTTGCCCCAGCACACACCACCATCTTACCCTTAGCAAATTAGGAAATCCCAGCTCCCTAATTTTTTTTAAAGATTTATTTATTTGAAAGTCAGAGGTAGAGAGGCAGAGGCAGAGGCAGAAAGGTCTTCCATCCACTGGTTTACTCCCCAGATGGCCCCAACAGCCAGATCTGGGCCCATCTGAAGCCAGGAGCTAAGAGCTTCTTCCTGGTCTCCCACGCAGGCACAGGGGCCTATGGACTTCGGCCATCCTCCACTGCTTTCCTAGGTGCATTAGCAAGGAGCTAGATAGGAAGTAGAGCAAACAGGACTCAAACCAGCACCCATATGGGATGCCAGCACTTCAGGAGGTGGCTAGGTCTACTAAGCCACAGCCCCAACCCTGATGCTTTCTTGTATTTACCCACAACAAAGAGAGCGAAGTGTCAGGGTAGTGAGAGGTATTAAAAATAAAGAAGAGAAATGTGTTTCTTAAACATACCCTTAGTCTATCATCCTAAGCTAATGCCATTTGTTTTTCAACACTGCTCAGCAGTTGCCGTGAGAATAAGAACACTTGACGATTCGGTCTTCTTGTCACAGCTACATGTCTACAAGTGCTCCTGTGTATTTTTTCCCAAGTCAGTAAGATTCAGAAAGCCTCTATTGTTTATCATGCTAGTGATCCTACTGTTCTAGAACAGGAGAAGCTGAAACACACTCACAATTGTGAATGACAAACACACTCAGACCACCAATGCCTTTGCAAGAACAGTGTAAAAATATTTGGATAAATACATTTATTTGGGTAACTACTGTAACAACTGAGAGAAGGAGGAGGAAACCCATAAAATTAGCACATTCATAATTGGGAAATTAGAGTCACTTGAAGAAAAGTCTAAGGACTCCTTGCTAAAACAACCTTCCCCAGAAAGTGTGTTGTGAACTCTGAGTTCCAGACCTTGCCTCCACCCTTCTGGTCCTTCTACTTACAACCAAGGCACCACAATATTCGGAAACTTATTTCAATTCTTTAGTTTTAGAATTTTTATTTCAAACAAGTATTGTGAACAGATTTTCCTGAAAGGATAAATTGATCTAACCAAATAATTTAGAAGTGTAGGTTTACTGTGGGATTTATTTCAGTGCTTAGGGTAGGTTCTAGAGATGAAGCCTGGCATGTAAAGGAATATATTTACCTATATACATATATAACACACACACACACATTCACATATATGAGACTGAATTCCCTTGCTACATTAGTAGCCTTATTGCTCCCTTTTCAAGAATGATGGGATTGGCTGCCTCTTTGTACTCAACATCTCAAAATGAGCACTTTTTTTTAGAGAAGGGTTACTGCATGACTCAGCCACTTAATCTGACTAAATAGCATTCCATCACCCATTAACAGCATTAAACACAACCGGATCTCGAAATACTTCAACCTTTTCAGTGTCAAAGCTATCTGTTGAGACCACAGTGAATGTTTGAACAAGCCCTCTACTGCCCTTCAAGGACAAAGTACCATTTTAAATGGTCTTCTAAATCTTCAGGCTTCTAAACTATACCACCTTTTCAGAAATACAATTCCAAATTAAAATTCTGTGTCAGAAGGCAACCATTAACCAAATTGCAAGTGTTCTTATGAGCCTCATTTAACTCAGGTGCATAAAGTTGAGAAGGCAAATTTACATACAGCTTGTTTTGAGTTTGGATGGAGCTTTTTGGAGGGGAGGCGGGATCTCTATATTCATAACTGTGAAAGGGCTATAGCTAAAGTGTAAATATAAAATTACGAAATTAAAATTCAGCATTTGCTCAAGGGCAGTTGGGAGAAAGAGAAAGCTAACTAAATATTGACAAAGCATAACAGTATGTATGTTGTATGCCATGTAAACCCATCAAGTCTCCTTTATTCAAAGGAGGAAGATCTGAACAGCAACTTCAGTGAAAACAAGACAACTCAAATTACTCACGAATTAATGTTTTTGATCTTCTTCATTCCTCATTTTATGTACACCTTTGCTGTGGAAACAATGGGGGAAAATGAGTCACTGGATTATCTCAAAAACAGTGACAGTGATTCAGTCATTCAACAAATAATGCTTGTGCTGTATGTCCTGTTTTTATGCTGATGAAATGGGAAGCTGTGAGGTCTGACATTAAAAAACGCACCATCAAGGGGAAAGATAATCAAGAGAGGAGGGACAGAGTGGAAGTAGGCAGATGTTCCCAGAAAAAAAGAGGAGATCTGTCCATAGACTGGGTTGGGGGTGAGTGTGAAGGTTAGGCCAGGGAATGTGTTCCAGAAGAAATGACTCAAGAAGTGAACCTTGAGCTTCCTTGCTACTTCCTTTTTGAGCAAGGTGAGCACTTCCTTTCTAGGTCTACAGGTTTCCTTCTCCACTGGATTATTTCTCCAGTAGTTACTAGGTACCAGTTACTGTACTAAGTGTGTTATTTTTCAATTATTCTTCCCCAAATCATAAGTCAAGTTTTGTGTTCTCCCCTTTAAGGCGAAATTGTCTGTCCCTAGCACAGTGGAATGTGACCATATTTGGAGATAGGGCCTTTACAAAAATGATCAACTTGAAGTGAGATAATTAGGAGAGGCCTTAATCCAGTAAGTGTCCTTATAAGAAAAGGTGAGGATACAGACAACACAGAGGAACAACCATGTGAGGACACAGACAGGCGGTGATCAGCAACAAGCCAAGGACCAAGGCTTCTGATGAAACCACTCGCACGCTGTGTAAACTGTGCAGTATGTGCAATTTTGTTACAGTGACCCTCTCAAACTAATGCACCCTGTTTGCAGATAGCAAACAGACATCAAATAGTGTCTCAGTCATACAAAGTATCAGAACCGGGACTTTAGAATGGGTCTCTCTGATCCAGAACTTCCCTTAACTCTCAAACACAACTGCATGCTTGAGCTCCTGCCTACCCAGGTATGCTCTGAATCCCACCAGGAATGTGACCCCCTTTTACAGCTGCCTACCCCGTCCACTTCCCCTTCTTCAACATACCTAACTCTTAACAAATAAGAACTTGCACTGTGCTCACTACTATGGCAAATGTTGTGGGAGACAGGATCAGAGACAGGCTGTGCCATGAAGGAGAACCCATTCCCATGGGAGATGAACATAGCAGCATAAAAACCATCTTAGGAGTTTAGTGAATGACAAATATCTAGTGCCAGTGGCAAATAAAGTGCTGTCAACCTCCACACTGCTCCACCTACTGCAGCTTGCTTTGGTCACCAGTGTTAATCAGAAACTGCTTTTGCCAAGATCTCCCAGTTTCTAAACCTAATAGACAACCATTCAGTCATTTGATGCCATTAGTCACATCTTCCTTCTGAAAATTCTTGCTTAGTATTCCTGGCATGGTTCTCTGGTTTCCTTTCTTTTGCTGTGAATATTATTCAGCAATCTTTTCTGGCTCCTTTTCTTTATCCTACTTCGGTGGATCTTGGATTCTGTTCTCAGACCATCTCTTTTCTCACCTTATCTTGAGAATGATATTCCTTTGCATGTTATCAACAGGCACCTATCACTCCTAAACTTACAGCTCTAGCCAAGTTCTGATTTCTGAGCTCTGGATCCATGCATCCAAAATCTCTCCAATCTACCCTTTCTTAAACTGGACAGCAAAGGATTCCTCTCCCTTTTTTTTTTTTTTTAACAGCAAAATTCCTGTGGCACTTAACATACTAACAGCCCAGAATATTTCTTTGCCTACCAGTTGCATAGTAATCTGCAATGCCATAATAATTTATTTTGTAGGGGCCAGAACTGTAGTGTAGTGGGTTAAGGTACCACTTGGAACACCAGAATCCCATATAGGTACCAGTTCGATTCCAGTCTTCTCCACTTCCAATCCAGCTCCCTGTTAATTGGCCTGAGAAAGTAGAGGAAGATGGCCCAAGAGTTTGGGACCCTGCAACCGCATGGAAGACTTGGATAAAGCTCCTGGATCCTGGCTTCAGTCTGGCTCAGCCCTGGCTTTTGCAGCCATTTGGAAAGTGAACCAACCAGTAAACGGAAGATCAATCAATCTCTCTCCCTTCCTCCCTCCCTCTGTAACTGTGCCTTTCAAATCAAGTATGTAAATTTTTTTTTTTTAAAGTGAAATGCTTTTACAAATAAAATCTGCTGAGCTACCTTTCCAATATCCCTGATAAAACTGGACAGAACTGGCTACAGTCAGTCTTGCAACTGGAGCTCACGTAAGATCAACTCAGACCTGAGAGTTGCATTATTGTCATTAGAATGTTAAATGATATACCTCCAATGACAAGGTCTTTAAACATATTTTGATGTATGTAAAGACAATTTTTCATGGCACCTGCTCAAAGGACTGCACCCACTCATTTTCTCTGCACTTATCATGTTTCATCACTTTGTTTCACCCAATTCCACCCCAATTACCCTAACTCCATAAATTCCCAAAACTCTGTATGTGGATATAGATTTGGGCGTTAACACGATTTCTCCCTTTGTCCTACAGGCATGTAGTAACAGCAAATGTTCTTTCTCAGAAGGTAAATACAGGGTTCTTATAACAGCAATAGTATACACATGAACAGGGGGACCTGTCCCATAATGCCTCTCAATCCCCACCCTTAGTGAACTGTAGCCAGTCACCCAAGCCAGAAGCATAGGAAGCATTGGTTTGGGAAGTTTAGAACTGCTGGTTTGGAAACCATGCTGGTCTTTACCTAAATTCAAATTCCATAATCTCTTCATTTATTTGAACTTCAGTGTCCTCACCTAAAACAATGAAAATGATAGGATGTGGGCCCAGTGCTGTGGTGTAGCAGATAAAGCCATCACCTGAAGTGCTGGCATCCCATATGGGCTCCTGTTCGAGTCCCCACTGCTCCACTTCTGACCTGGCTCTCAGCTATAGCTTGGGAAAGCAGAAGATGCTCCAAGTCCTTGTGCCCGCATGGGAGACCAGGAAGAAGCTCCTGGCACCCGGCTTAGTATTGTTACAGCTCCAGCCATTGTGGCCATCTGGGGAGTGAACCAGCAGAAAGAAGACCTCTCTCTCTCTCTCTGCCTTTCAAATAAGTAAGTAAGTCTTAAAAAATGATAAAATGCACCTGAAGAGGCTTTGTGAGGATGCAATTTGGAAGTCCCCCAAGACCACCCTCAGGCTCAATATTTGGCAAGAACTCATAGGACTTAGAAAAGTTCTTTGTTCACAATTATGATTTACCGGCGTTGCGGCTCACTAGGCTAATTCTCCGCCTTGCGGTGCCGGCACACCGGGTTCTAGTCCCGGTCGGGGCGCCGGATTCTGTCCTGGTTGCCCCTCTTCCAGGCCAGCTCTCTGCTGTGGCCAGGGAGTGCAGTGGAGGATGGCCCAGGTGCTTGGGCCCTGCACCCCATGGGAGACCAGGAAAAGCACCTGGCTCCTGGCTCCTGCCATCGGATCAGCGCGGTGCGCCTGCTGCAACGCGCCGGCCGTGGCGGCCATTGGAGGGTGAACCAACGGCAAAGGAAGACCTTTCTCTCTGTCTCTCTCTCACTGTCCACTCTGCCTGTCAAAAAAAATAAATAAATAAATAAAAAACATTTTTGTGCAAAAATCCTTTGAAATCCATGCATACTTTTTTCATAATATCCATTTTCCTTGAACTTTTTAAACAATTTTTGTTTTCATAAACTTAAAATGAATTGAGAAAAAGAGACACAGAGATCTTCCATCTACTGGTTCATTCCCCCAAATGCCACAACAGACAAAGATGGAGCAGGCAGAAGCCAGGAGGAGCTCAGAACTGAGTTTCGCATGTGGGTGCCAGAGACCTAAGTACATGAGCCATCACCTGCCACCTCCCAGTATGCATTAGCAGGAAGCTGGGTTGGAAGCAGATGAGCTGAGATTCAAACCAGCACACCCATATGGAATATAGGCATCCCAAACAGGCACTTAACCTGCTGCACCACAAGGTCCACCCTCATGAACTTTTAAACCTCATACAATCATATACATAGATTTCAAAACATTTTAGCACCAAAATAAACTTGTCTTTTTTTTAAAGAGTTTTTTTTTTTTTTAATTGAGGCCAGCATTGTGGCACAGAGGGTTAAGCCACAGCTATGACACCAGCATAACCATATCGGAGCTCTGGTTCAAGTGCTAGCTGCACCACTTCTGAACAGGTTTCCTGCTAATGTGCTGAGGAAAGCAGCAGCAGATGACCCAAGCACTGGTGGGAGACCCCTATTGAGTTTCTAGCTTCTGGTGTTCAGCCTGGTCCAGCCGCGGCTGTTGCGAGCATTTGAGGAGTGAACAAGCAGAAGGAAGGTCTCTCTCTTCCTCCCAGAGAAATAAAGAATGAAGGTAATGTAACATAAAATGAGGGGTGAGGGGAGAAAGGAAGGAAGAAAGCATGAAGAAAGAAGGTATGTTTATTTTAAAAATTTAATTAATTTAAAAGGCAGAGACACAGAGGTCTTCCATCAACAGGTTAATTCCTCATATGCCTCAACAGCCAGGTCTGGTAAGGCTACATCCAGGAGTCTGGAATTCCATTTGATCCAGTTGAGTGGCAGGGACCCAAGTACTTGAGTCATCACCTCTACCTTCCAGAGTGCACATTAGCAGGAAGCTGAAATTGGAAATGGAGCTGGGATTTGAAGCCAGGCACTCCAACAGGGGATGTGGGTGTCCCAAGCAGCTTTTTAACTTCTGCACTAAACACCCACCCTTAGGCTGATCTTTAATTCAATTTTCCAACAACTTCTTGAAGTATCCTCATAGGGCGGAGCCCAGCAGAGAGCTTCACGCTGTCCTCCTGCAATGGAGTCATGTGGAGAGCACTCCCTTCTCCCAGCAACAATGTTTGACAGCATGCACTGAGTACCATGAGCCAGGGAAGGGCATCTGTCCATCCAGCTTTTGTTTTGTTTTAAATGGAGGTCAGTCACATAGATATGGCTGACCACCCATGTGACCAAAAGTCAAGCTGATATGGGATTCAAAGCACCACCTAAAATCTCATGGTTATCACAAACTATCTGTCATGGCCCAAGGCCCCATGTAACATAAACGTTCTTATCGGGCCCAGAGTTACCTCCCAAGAGTTGCTCCAGGGTCAGATCCTCTACTGCACAGAGGATTAATGAGTTCACACATACAGCATGTTTAGCAGAGTGCCTGACATATACTAGGTGCTCAAGAAATGTTAGTTGTTGTTAGCGTTTTCATCCTGTGTTTCTCTTCACTTCCCATGTTCAGTTGCCAAGTCTTGTAAATACCTCCCTCTTTGTTTTCTGCCACTACTTTTTCTGTTTATGCCACCACCTTTATATAGAGTGAAAGCAATCTCATAATGAAACAATAAGAAAATAATGTAAAAAGAACATGTAATTTTGAAAAGAGCCAAATAAAAGTTCTAAAACAAGTAGTCTTGGAAATTAAAAACTCAGTAGATCCCATAAACATCAGATGAGCCACAGACAAAAATGCAATGAAAATTAAAACTTTGCTATTTCCTAAAGTTTTCTATTTTCATAAGGAAATACAAAAAGAATCCATTGTAGTGTTCTTTGAAGTAGTGAAAAATTAGAATGGGGAATGTAAAAGGTATTTTTACAATCAAATACTACTCAAAAGTTAAAATAAGTGAACCAGATTTGCATGCACAGATTTGTATGAATGTATGATAAATATGCACAGAAGGAAAAAATAAAGACTTGAGTCACTTATGCAAATTTCTAAAATTCAAAATACAGTGGTAGTTTATATATACTTGCACATATTGAAAATGTGTTAATGTGGATGAGAAGGGTATACACCAGCTGTGGAATGTTTCTTCTAGGAGATATGGGAGAGAGAGTCAGGAAGTGAATAATGGGATTATAAGAGCTTAAACTATGTATAACTGGAGCAAGTATAGGAAACATTGATTACTTTCAATTCTGCAAATGTGTCCCGTTTTATTTTTCTTTCCCTTTCCCCATATCTTGACTGTCAGCCAGGGCTCAACTAGGAAAGGAGAATTGTATGTTGAAAAAAATGGGCCAGCGCTGTGGCACAGTGGGTTAAGCTGCTCACTGCAATGCTGGCTTCCCAAATGGATACCAGTTGGAGTCCTGGCTACTGCATTTCCAATCCAGCTCCCTGCTAATGTGCTGGGGAAAGCAGCAAAAGGTAGCCTAAGTTCTTGGGCCCCTGCCACACATGTAGGAGACCTGGATGGAATTCCTTGCTTCCAACTTCAACCTGGCCCAGTCCTGGTCATTGCAGCCATTTGGGAAGTGAACCAATGGATATCTATCAAATAAATACATCAATTAAATAAATACATCTTTTTAAAAAATTATGTGCAGCTAGTATATGACCTAGCACTTCCATTCACAAATATAATATCTAAAAGAATTGAAAGGGAGTTAAACATGTATTTATATACCATTATCCTTTGCAGCATTGGTCTCAGTGGCCAAAAGGTGGAAATCCAAATGGCCATCAACTGATGAATGGATAAATTGTACTATATTATACAATAAACTTTATTCACCCATAAAAATGGAATGAGCAACTTTAAAATACAACATGGGTGAATTTTTAAAATTTAAGACAGATACAAGACCAATGTTATATTATTCTATTCATATGAAATACCTAGAATAGTCTGACTCAGATGAGGAGTATTATTTTATAGATTAGAGATTTATTTACCAGGGGCTAAGAAGAAAGGAATATGGGGAATTGTTGCTTAATGTCTACAATGGTTAATTAATGTTAGCAATGGTTACAATGGTTAATTAATAGTAATGCAATGGTTAATTAATGTTGCTTAATGGTTCTGTTTGATGTGATGAAAATCTTCGGAAATAGATAATGATGATGGTTACACAACATTGTCAATGTAATTAGTGCCACTGAACACATGTGCCAAGTACATACATATATGACAATTTTTTAAAAATAATGTAATATACAAAAAACCACTTATTCATACACTTTAAATGGGTAAAATGTATGTAAATTATCAATTTTTTAAGTAAACAAGCAAGAAAGATTTATTACAAGGAACTGGCTTATGTGCAAGGGCTGACTGGAACTCTCAAGGGCAGACTGAAGCTACTGGGCACAGGAGGAATCCTCCTTTCTCAGAGAATCCCCTTCTGCCCTTAACTTTTTCAACTGGCTGGATCAGGCCCACCAGGGTTACGCAGGAGGACTTCCCTTACTAGAAGTAAACTGATGATAGATTTTAGTCACACTACAAAATATCTTTATAGCAATATCTAGGCTGCTATCTAATTGAAGTACTGGCAATAGCCTAGCCAAGCTGACACATAAAACTGACCATCACAGTATGGTTTATATTATGGGTACATCTCTCTGTCCTTGACATTGATATGCACTCAAACTTCCAAGAAGTTCAATAGTGTCCAAAAGTACTGTGGAAACATTTTCAAAGATATACGTTGTTTAATGTATGATATAAAAGTTATGAATATAACAACCAAGAAATTTTTAATATATCCTAAAAAAGGTTGTAATTACTGTATTTTAAAGTGTCTAGCATAATTTCCACATTTATTCTTAAAAATATAAAGTCTATGCACAGCACTGGACCCAGATTGATATTAAAATTAATAAGACACACAACTTGGCCACAATGAGTTCACAGTCTCCTCCTATTTACACATCAATAAATCATGATTCTTCCCCAGTCACTAGACCAAGGGCTCTACTGGTGTCCTGGGTCAGCCCCATGTCCACTCTGGAATAAACAGTCTGGAATAAACAGCCTCTGCTGCCCGAATTTTGACTCTCAGGTGTCAGGGTCTATGGGATGGAAGACTCAACAGTAAGAAATTAAAACATCCCCCATACTGTCAGAAACACTAGAGGCATTTATTTCTGGGATAATTCTTTTCATGGAAAAGTTTCCCTATGCAGAATTTCTCACTTTCAAAGCAAAAGACATTCGTTCCTAATTAAGATGTGAGAAGATAAGGGTCCTAGCGCCTAAGGTATCTGGTGGTGCCTCCCTCCTCTCCAGTTTACCCGCTTCTAATCCTCTCCCCTATATGCTTGCCTCTGCTCCTCTTTTCTTTCTCTTGCCTTTACATACCTTCTCCCCATCATTGTCCTTGTGGTCATCACTTAGCTCTGATGTAGGACTTAGAGTGAATGCCATGGTCCATTTTTTAACCTGTCAGGTAGAGAGACGGAAATACAAGCAAAGACAAAGTCATATTCCAGGAGCAAAAAGAAAAAATAGGGGGCTCTAAAGTTCAGTTTTCTCTGCTTAATGACATAATTTTTAAAAGTTGTTCAGCAATTATTTCACCTCAGTGATAATAAGGAACACCACTGAGTTTCTACTTTCAGGAAACTTTATTTCATGAAAAGGCAAACACTCCTAAGAAGGTGCAGCATTTTCATGTTTTAAGGGTTAGGGGTCCCCTCCCACCTCATTTTTGCTGCCTTAAATTACTGAATATCTTTTGAAAAAAATCATTATTTTACAAACTGAAACTACACTTTCCACCCTTATTGAACATCAGGCAGCATGCAATCATGCATGGAAACTAAATGGTGAAAAAAAAAATCGGTTCTATGAAAATTAATTTAATTATGCTCTCAATGTTTTTCTATTGATAGAATGTACATGTAACTCCTTTAGGACAATAATAGAGGTTACAAAATCTAATTCACAGGAGCAAAGGGGAGTTTCATTGCTGTTGCTTAAATTATTTGATTTCTCATTCCTATCAGGGACCATTCGATCCAAGTGAGCCATTTCATTGCCATTTGAGAGGAGAAAAATTAGGCCAATACACTATTAAACCAGAGATTCCTATTGAATGTTCCAACATATTCTTGTATCATTTGCTTTCTATGAATCAAAATAATGCAATATTGTCTGCCACTAGGCAATGCAGGATCCCAGTATTGCATATTCCCTGACATTTTAGTTGAGCAAATACCCAAAGGGCCCTCCCAGGTGGATGTAACTTGGCTTTGGGCAATTAGTGTCCAGAGCCACATTAATGTTGTCTTCCTGATTCTGCAACTTGACAGTCTGATAAACAATAGCACTGAGAGGTGTGAACTTCCACTATTTATCTCAATGGGCTGTTAACTTTGAAACCCAATTATGATCACTTAAATGCCAACACTGTTAATCATTTCACTGCTGATCACTGTACCAGAAACATCCAGCCACAGTGATGTGCTTCTTCCCTGGGCTGCCGGGCTCAATTGCCATGTCCTGATGTACTTTTTCAAAATGTCCTCTTGTTAGGAGTGTCAATCTTGGATGGGCTAAATGGGTATATTCAGTGTTTGAGCCTTTCGGTAAGCAAAGCACCTATCACTATGCTTAAAACAAAGAAAGGAGTGACTACCTGCGGCTTGTTTTCAAATACTGAGCTTGAGTTTTCCTTACAGGAATCTCTTCAGTCCCGTGAGTCCTTACAGAAATTAAACCGTTTGGAATACCAGGGTCACCATTAGAGATAATGTAAAATAGGAGGAAGGAGGGTGATTTTTCCAGAAGTCACTGTTGTGAACAGTGACTTCATCCATCTTCAAATATTTTAATAGTTCTTCCAGGTCTTCCATCCAAAATGTCACCAATATGTTTATATTGAATGTCTCTGTGAGCATGCTCTTTACATGTAACTATCGAAACCTAGAAAAGTAGGTATTTTGAGAAAAATCAGTAGAGGTTGCTTCTTGTGTGAGGGAAGAAAGTCTCATGGATAAAAAACACAAGAAATGAGAAAGGGCTTCAACTTCCCTTTGAGTTCAAAATGGATTATGGCAGGATTTCCTTAGACTTATGTAAAAGAGGAATACAATGAACACAAAACATCTGAATAAAGTGGAAGGAGAGTTCCCTAGAAAAAGTAAAGTTCCTATCTTTCCCTAAGATAACTATGAAAAAAAGCTTTAGTACTGATCCTCTAACAAGCTCCCACCCCAGGCCTGAGGCACTGTCAGTCATGCAGGACAGGTCCAGAGCATTCATTCTAAAAGTGTACTCCTAGCGATTTCTCAGGCCCACTCCACATCAAATGAATCAAACTGAAACAGCAAGCTCTCTGGGGACTCTGAGACCCTTTGAAGTTGGAGAACACTGGTCTGTGGGAAGCATACAATGACACAGGCCAGGACAGGCGTAGGGGCAGCCAATATTGTCATATTTCCAAACCAGCCACTGACCAGTTCTTTAATTCAATCATAAAATTAAAAAGGAAAATCTATGCACACATCTTTGAAATCTGCACCCCAATGCACCACTGACCAAACTCTGCTGAGAAACTCGTATTTTGTATTCCTCCTGCCCACATAGTAACTACACAGTGTCTTGAGTAAGTCATATGCCTGATCTGCTGAGCAGAAAATTTAGGGAGAGATTAGATAAGTACATGAAATTTTAATTTAAATAAAGCCTTTGGGTTCAACCCTTCAATAGAAGTAAGTTCAATAGAACTTTTCCAAACACTCATCCCAAACTGAAAATGTACAATATTTAGAATCATTGTATTAAAAATATCCTTTGTACATGCTAACAATCACTTTTCCAAACTAAGTAAAAACAGATTTCCTCCAATAAACTTAAAGGTTTCTTCAAACATGTATTATTTATTCAAGAATAATGGTTTTGTGAATTTCTGTGCCTCTTGATGCTACACAGCTTCTGATGTCACATATATTTCTCATTCAAAAAAAAAAAAAAAACCTGTTGAAGTGAAATGGACACTATGAGAAACAGTGACTTGATCAGCTCTTGTCCTGACTGTTGATGTACAATGTAATACTTTATCCATTTTAGTCTTTTCTCTTTGTTTTGTTCTAGTACTATTGGTTGAACTCTGTGATTAACACACAATTATTCTTAGGTGTTTAAATTTTAACTGAAAAGTGATCCCTGCTAAATATAAGAGTGGGAATAAGTGAGGGAGGAGATGTATAATTTGGGACATGTTCAATTGGACTTGCCCCAAAAGGTGGAGTTAGAATCATTCCAGGGGATCCCAATACAATCCCATCAAGGTGGCATGTACCAATGCCATCTCACTAGTCCAAGTGATCAATTTCAGTTCACAACTGATCACACTGATAGGTCTAACAGTCAAAGGGATCACACAAACAAGACTAGTGTCTGCTAATACTAGCTGATAGAATCAAAAAGGGAGAGAACGATCCATCATGGGAAGCAAGATACACAGCAGACTCATAGAATGGTGGATGTCCTAAATAGCACTCTGGTCTCAGAATCAGCCCTAAGGCATGGGGATATGGCTGAAGAGCCTATGAGAGTATTTTAGGCATGGAAAGCCGAGACACCCTGGAAAAAAAAAAAAGAAGGCCTTAATGGAAGATCTCTGCAAGTGAGATCCCAGTGGAAAGAACAGGCCATCAAAGAAGGAGGTACTTTTCTCTGAAGGGAGGAGAGAACTTCCACTTTGACTATGACCCTGTCAGAATAAGATCAAAGTCGGTGAACTCAAAAGGCTTCCATAGCCTTGGCAACTCATGACTAGAGCCTAGGGAGATTACTGACGCCATAAACAAGAGTGTCAAATTGTTAAGTCAACAATGAGAGTCACTGTGTACTTACTTCTCATGTGGGATCTGTCCTTAGTGTGTTGTCCAATGTGAAGTAATGCTATAACTAGTACTGAAACAGTATTTTACACTTTGTGTTTCTGTGTGGGTGCAAACTGATGAAATCTTTACTTAATAGATACTAAATCGATCTTCTGTATATAAAGATAATTGAAAATGACTCTTGATGTGAATAGAATGGGAGAGGGAGCGGGAGATGGGAGGGGTGTGAGTGGGAGGGAAATTATGGGGGGGAGCCATTGTAATCCATTAACTGTACTTTGGAAATTTATATTTACTAAATAATAAAAAAAAAGTCAAGCTCTAAAATAACAAACTTGGACCGAGCGACTTTATTTCACCCATCAAAAATCAGTCTACAGCACTTAAGGGCACCAACCAAGGCAACCCAGCAAGGTACTCATATTTTGCAAACTTGAATTTGAAACTGTTTTAAGATAGTATTCATTAGAAGTAACCTTTTAGGCTACCTCCTAAAACTGATATTCTTACTTATAAACTTATTATCTAAGAAAGGGGAGAATTACAAAAGCTGTTATCAGGGATATACTACCTGGTAGCACTTCGTCAAAGATATCTTGATCATCAGAAAGCAACTTTCCCATAGAAAGTCATATTATCTTTGTGGATAATATAGATGAACCAGGAATTGAAATAATCATGTGTGCCCTGCACAGAAACAATCAAGAACTAAGAAGCACCTGAGATTATAACTGCCTTGAGGTTAACAAATTAGCCTGCCACAGTTTCATAGAAAAGACAGGAGATTTATGGGTCAGAGAAAAAAAGTTTTATTACTCATAGCAATAGTAGTATCCAGAAGATCAGCATTGATACCCTGTTACCCTAGTCCCAATCCTCATAAATTGATGCAGTGAGGGCCAGGTGATACCTGCACACACACTGGGTGTCATTAGAGGAGAGAAATCCTAAGCTTAGAGGACTTGGTTCTTTTATAATAGACAGAAAGCGGCCGGCGCAGTGGCTCAATAGGCTAATCCTCTGCCTTGAGGCACCGGCACACCGGGTTCTAGTCCCGGTCGGGGCGCCGGATTCTGTCCCGGTTGCCCCTCTTCCAGGCCAGCTCTCTGCTGTGGCCAGGGAGTGCAGTGGAGGATGGCCCAAGTGTTTGGGCCCTGCACCCCAATGGGAGACCAGGAGAAGTACCTGGCTCCTGCCATCGGATTAGCGCGGTGCGCCAGCTGCAGCAGCCATTGGAGGGTGAACCAACGGCAAAGGAAGACCTTTCTCTCTGTCTCTCTCTCTCTCACTGTCCACTCTGCCTGTCAAAAAATAAAAATAAAAAACATAATAGACAGAAAGTTTCCCTCACCTCTGCCCCTGGAAAGATTATCTTTTATATATACTGGACAATACACAAACTTGCCCTTAATTTTTCAAGAAAATACTACATCTAAGGCTGAGAATTATATAAAGTCCTGAAAAAGATAGTTTACAACAAGACCATGAGTTCTTCTGCTCACAACAAAAACAGAAATGCAAGAAACTCATGAAGAATTCTATCCCAACAATGACTAGAGCCAGAGGCACTAGAAAGAAATCATCTTCCTG